GTGTGTGTGTGTTTATGGTATGCCCCAGGGTAATTTGAGTTTGAGACCCCTTGTCTAAATTGTGCCATGGGGGCGGCTATCCACATTTAACCCAATCTGTACGCCCTGGGGTCATTTTGTACCCCCCGGGTTGTATTCTTCACATTTCAGAATACTTCTAGTGCAAAGATCTCTTTGAAACTTTCAGTATTTCTTTAAAAAATCATTTTGACTGACTGCTATGCAAAGCGTACGTATCAGATTAACGAGTAAAATTCCTCTTTAGAAGTGATGGCACTTTCCCCACGTCGTATGGATACGATAGTAAAGCACGACGTACGGATAGGGTTAAAGAGACAAATAATAATGTGTCACGACATAGTGAAATCAGGCGCTCCTCAATTTTTGTGTGCATATTATAGAGTTATTACTATGATCTTCAAGCTCGCTTATTTGTCTTGCACTTGGCAAAAAAAGTACCTTACCATTCACCCTGAATAAAAATCGAAATATTTACAATTGAATGAGATGGGGGTATAGGAGGTAAAATTAGCGAGAAAATGGCCTCCAAAGTTTGGTGACTTCCAAAGCTTGAGTGTCTATGGCAACTGAAACTTTACTTTTTTTTGTATGCCTTTGATCTTGATCAGCGTAACTCAGTAAAACCCACTGACAACTGTGTTTTAAATGGACATAAAAGGTGAAAATGCCAACGCCCGAAAAAAATGCTGGTTTCTTTGATATCTTTATTTTGACGAGCTTCTGATTTCACCACGCTACCTAACATATACATGTATTAAACTAACTGGATACCCGTTCGATGAATGGGTTCAAAAGAATCGATCGTAAAGTGATTGTGGGCAGTGTGGACAGTGCGTACTGCTTTTGAACGAGAGCTTCACTTGTTTACAATGGCGACTGAAAAGATGGGCTTTCCCAAGATTAGATCTAAAAGAAACTAATGAAAAACTGAAAATTAAACTACAGTGACTTAAGACTCCATATATAGCTATGCACCCTTTAAATGATTCAGAACCACCGTTATTTTATTTTTCAAGTTCGAAAGTTAAGCGGTTCGGAAGTTTATGGTGACCAAAGTGACGAACTTTCACAATTTATAATATAAAATTATATATATATAT